GCCCTCGAGCCTCTAAGCCCTCAAGTCCTGAAACCTTCAAGCACTGAAGCACCTGAGACCTTACAGTAACATTCCTGGACACACCTGGTGCAAATTCGAGCGGAGGCAGTCATGTTAGTTTTTGGAATAAGTGTGCAGATGTAAGCATATTGTTCGGTTTTGGGATATGCTAGCATCGCCTCACATTTAGAATCGTACAGTGACGTTATTTGGCCGTCTGGACTTCGTGCCAGTTTGTCTTTTCGAGCCGGTTGGAATAAGTCCGCATGCCCCGGGGCGCCCCCCTGGGACCTCCCCCAAGATCCCCCCGAGGACCTCCCCCAGGATCCCCCTCGTTGGGGGGGAAGGGATCAAGGGGAAGGGGCTTCCCTTCGACTCAACTACGACGTTGCTTGATTTCGCTTTGGTTTCGCTTTGGCTGGTTCGCTTGAGGAGGAGGGCCCAGTGAAAGGGGGGGAACGAGACGAGCCCAGGGAACAGGGGGTCAAAAGTGACAGCGACGACGACGACCATGACGACGACGACGACGACGACGATGACGACAACGGCGGCGGCGGCGACGACGACGACGACGCCGACGACGTCGAGTCAAACAGAATGGCGCCGTCCACGCGCCGACAGGGTCGGCAGATTTTGTCCAAAAGTGTAGTTCGTGTTTTTGTTGACAAATCTGGTGTGTGGGGGGGGTGTCATTGGTCCTGGTTGGCTGCCGGTCGCCTGGGGCAGGGGGTGCTCAGTAGTAGGGAACAGTAATACACCCCTCCCCGAAGTGGAAGAGGGAAGATGGAAGAGGAAACTCGCTGAACCTCTCACGCCCAGAGGGCTGGCGAGATTCACCCTCGCTCTCATCCCCTCTCCTCCCACCTCCTCACCACCATTCCCTCATGGTTGCCATCCGCCTCTCCATCCTCCTCCTCCTCCTCCTCATCCTCCTCCTCCTCCTTTCTTCCGCCTTCTCCCTAGTTAACTCGTCGCCGCCCTCGTGGCCGTCGTCACTGCCGTCGTCACCGCCCTCGCCGTCTCCAGGTGCCCCCCGACCAAGGCGGGAGCTCCTTCCCATCTCCCGTGCGGGTGCTCCCAAGCCAGATCGAGCCTGCGAGGTTCTTGGGGCCCAGAGCGGGGCTGCTGCGTCCGTCGGGACATTTTCCAGGCGCCTCGATGCGAGGGTCGTCGGCTTCCCCGTCGTCGCCGCCCCCGCCGCCGTCGTCCTCGTCGCGGTCGTCGTCCTCTTCGCCGTCTTCGTCCTCGTCGTCGACGTGTCTCGTCCCCCTTGAAGGTCGTCGCCGTCATTGCCGTTTCCGCGGCCGTCGCTGCTCTCTGAGGTCATAGCCGTCGTCGCCGCTGTCGTTTTCGCCGTCGCCGCGGACGTCGCCGTGCAGCCAAGGCGCTGAAATAAGGACCGCCTCCGGTCCTGGAGGCACTCTGGCTTCCCGGCCGCTCCTGCGATTCAGGTCATGGAAGACCGCGGAACCTAGTCATGGCCGATGCTCACCGTGGCATCACCCCCTTCGATCCTGATTCAGCTCTCCTCGCCGTGCCGTTGCCTACCCACCGCAGCTGGACGTGCGGTGTCGTCTCGTTTGTCGCGGGGACTTCCCCCGAAGTCGGGGTCTGCGTTCCCTGATCTGTAAAGTTTTGCTAAGCGGCCTTCCTAGAGAAGGACCGCGCTCTTGACAGAATTAGAATTCGAATTCGCCTGCACGCCGCCATCGCCGCTGCCGCGGCGCCCTCCTCCGAAGGTCGGGGCACTGGGCGCGCTGGCCGGCCGCGCGCTGCGGGGGCGCGGGCGGCGCGGGGCTCGCTGCGGGCGGCCCCGGGACAGGGCAACCCCCGCAAGCCTTGGGGTTCGTCGCCTGCGCCTGCCGGCGAGGCGGCGAGGAGGAGAGGTCGGGAGCCTCGAGACGGGGGTCGATGCCAACGGTCAGCCACGCGCAGAGGGGGGTGGGGGGAGGGGGGGGGGCTTCTTAGAAGCACCCCTGCTTCTCAGAAGGCGCCTTCTGAGAAGCCTTCTAAGAAGCAGCCTCCTTCTAAGAAGCAGCCTCCTTCTAAGAAGCCCTCCCCCCTCCCTCCACCCCCCTGTGCGCGCCGCCAAACGGGGGTCAGCCAGAGCGCCCGTCAAAACGGGAGGAGAGGTCGGGAGCCTTGATCAAGCAGTGGCGAAGCGTCCTGGCGTGCCTACAGCCCTACCAGACAATGCTCTCAGAACCTTTTGTGGTTCCCACGAGATGTTCTCAGCACATTCCTGGTTGGGGCTGTCTTAGTTTAACACATCGGGCTTATGTTCTGAGAGCATTGTTCTTTTCCTTAGAACATTTGTTTGTGGTCTAAGAATATGTCGTGGTAGGACTATAGGAATGCCGGGACGGTCGGTCTCTGCTCAACTTGAGACGGGGGTCAATGCAAACGGGGGTCAAGCGCCCGATCTTGCAGGATCCTGCAGGGGCAGGGTCGCATTGCCCCGGGTTTGGGCGCAAGTTCCTGCAGGATCCTGCAGGATCCT